TTGTTGAAGGAGGTAATAGTTCCACCCTCCTGCTGTCTACCTGTGACTCCACTTTCAAGGAACTATGAACCTGCACCCCAAGGTCCCTTTGCTTGGCAACATTCCACAGGTAGTTGTAGATTCAATTCCCCTCCAGTGATATGAGCGCACAGTTGATGCTAATTATGTATCATTTGTATTTAATTGTATATGGGTGGTAGATATCTGCTGAAAATTCATTTCAGCTCTGAAAATAAGACTAAAACTGTGGTGGTAGGGTTGAGGAGGTAATGTATAAAAATTTCTACAAGTGAATATAGAAGTGGATAGAGAGTGGCCCAGTTCTATCTTTCCACATCAGACTGTCTGTAATGGAACAATCTCAGCTGACACTTTAATGCAAGTCCAAGAGAGTGGTACATGATCAGAGCGTCAGCTTTTGGATGTGATGTTTAAATCAAGTTATTAACTAAATGCAATTTGCTTGTCTTCCAAGGCGAATGTAAAAGATTCCCTTTAGAGATAATAACCATTCAATACATCGTTATCCCTCAAGTACTTGATTATTGCAGGGACTGAAGAGCAATGCATTTGAACCAAAATGGTGCCTGGGCCCTCAAGATGGACATTCTATGCTGAGACCTGGCATGTGGCATTTCCTTTGGGATGGAGTAATGTAACATGGCTACAGTTTGCATTTTCGTGCTTCAGGAAGAAAGCAGATGTAAAAATACAGCTGCCTTCAAACAGATGCTATTTTTCATTAGTGGGCTATTTAAAACATGACACATGGGCCTTAAACACTTAAGCAAAATGACTGTAGCTGCAGGTTATGAGGGAGCTTCAGAGGGTGGGGAAAGCATAGGAGATGCCATCAGTTGTCAGGGATAAGGGGAGTATGTGAGGGGTATGGAGAGTGAGGGCCAAGGGGTAATTTTTTGGTTTTGTTTGCTTTTCTATGCCTCATCTAAAACCTCAATCAAGTCAGTGAATCACAATTTGCCTTCGACCAATCCATGCCTTTCCTTTGCAAATCCGTAGGAGTCCAAGTGACAATTCCATTTTTTTCTGGATCTACAGAGCTGTCTTTGGTTCCACCCTTGTCCAGGGAGCTGGAAAGAGCCTGAAGACCTACCCAGGCCACTGATCCCGAGCAAGCCTCTGCACGCCTGCGTCCAGGCATAAACTGCCCTCCAGTGAAATGTAATACCCAGGGTATAGCCTCTTGTGACCAATGCAATATCCTGTCTTTGTTCCATTTTTCCATCTTCTTCCTCCAAACTTTCTGCTGCATATTTAGTTTTAAATACTTTCTTAAATCCTTTGAAAAAATTCACAGTACTACAATACTTTGAATCGCAACTGACCAATGGGTTGCGTACACCGTGTGCTTTTCCGCACTTCATCCTCTTATGGTAAATCATAAATTCTCTTCACTTCACAAAATGATCAATCACATTTCTGTTTTCATTTCCTTTGAAGCAGTTTTCCTTTAATATTGTTGCCTACAAATTGCATCTAGTTGGTCTCACCAAATTGCTAACATCATGCCCTCTATTTTCTGCAGTGTCATTATTGCCCACTTAGTGCTGTTAGGGACAAATGCTTTCTGAAGAATTTTTGTTCAGTGCTTCTGACATTTGTTGGAGTTGTGTATGTTTATCCACAAATTTAACTCCTGTCAAATTTACAAGTCTGCCCATACGTTGGCATAGCTCAATCATTTAAATGCCAGCACAGATTGGGGAATTTCCAAATGGAATTTCTGCAGTCTTGCATCTAATCTGCTGAATCTCTTTCTGCAATTTTTCATACCACAATTCTCAGCCTTTCCAAATTTGTGAAAATCTGACCACACCTCATAAGTAGTCAATAAAATCATCTTTTTCATAAATTTTCTTCATGGAAGTTAACCATCAGTCAAAACCTTCATCTGTGTTCAAACTACAAAGCTTTAATTTTTAAAGGAAATCTTTGCCTTTTGTTATGCCTCTGCATGGTAACAAACATGTTAAGAACATACCTTGCTTTCTCTTTGTTAAACTAGTAACCCAGGTTCATATTGTAACTTCATTCTTCCACTGGTCATAGGACACACACACATTCTGTCTCTTGTGTGATTTCAAACGAACCTGTTGGGCTATAATCTGGTGTCGTCTGATTTCTGACCTTGTCCACCCCGTTCAACACCAGCACTTCCACATCATAGGATCATTGTCAGAAAACAACAATGGGTAATCATACACAGACACTTTACATTTTGACTCAACCAACCCGTCTCCATTGAATCATACAGGACAGAAGAGGCCTTTCAGCCCATTGAGTCCATACTGCTAAAACTTTACTACTACCTACACTAATCCTACTTCCCCTCATTAGGCCCATAGCCTTGAATATTATGACATTTCAAGCGCTCTTCCAAGTACTTTTTAAAGATTGTGAGGTTACCTGCCTCAACTATCCTCACAGTGCATTCCACCCTATGAGTGAAAAAGATTTTTCCTCAAATCCCCTCTAAATCCTGTCTTTCACTTCAAAATTGCTTCCTTTCATTACTTACCATTCAGCTAAAGTGAACAACTGCTTTCAATTCACACTGTTCATGCTCCTCGGAATCTTATACACCTCTATCACCTTCCCCGCTCCAACTTCCTTGCTCCAAAGAAAACAGCCTGAGATTATCCAGTTACACTTCATAGCTAAACTGCTCCATCCCAGGCAACATCCTGGTGAATCTCCTTGGCAAAGGTCCAGTGCACTCACATTCTTCCTATAATGTGGTGACCAGAAGTGCACACAGTTACTCTAGCTGTGGCATAAGCAAAGTTCTTCGCAGCTCCAGTGTGACCTCCCTGCTCTTATAATCTATGCCATGACCGGTAAAAGCAAGCGTCCTGTATAGCTACTGAACTGCCCTGTTAACCTGTCCTGTCACGTTCAGGAGTCTGTGGACAAGACCTCAAGACCCCTCTGTTCCTCTGAGCTTTCCAGCATTCGGCCATTCATTAAATGGCTTGCTGGTTCCATGCACCTCCCAGATAGGCTATCCAGTCAAAGATAAGTGTTTTTGAACAGAGTTCAAGTCCACACTTTTCATGAGAGTTTCATTTCAGTTAACCATACTCCATAAAACTGTGCATTGATTATTAACTCCCCATATTTATCCATGCAATTCCCATCCAATTAACTCTTCATTAATACCTTCATCGCATGTTCCCTTTTTCCATTCAGACCTTATTAGATAATAAAACTCTTCAGCTTCTGGTTCAGAAAGCAATATGTGATACAATATTGGACCAAATCCCAAACCCACTCCCGCAGTCATTCTGTTAAAACAGCAAAATAACACAAATATTCTCAGGAAATGCCTTTTCTGATTTCTGAAGTAAGGTCTACTCTGGAAATGTTAGCTTTTCTGCTTCTGTCTCTTATGAATGTTGATTTGCCAAGCATTTCCAGCATTTTCTAGAGTTCCGAAGAATTCATCTCAACATTGAAACATGAACTATTTCCTCTCCTTAGATGTTGCTAGACCTGCTGAGTATCGCTAGCAATTCCTGTTTTTGTTTCAATCTTTTGGCTTTTGTTTCAGATTTCTAGCATCTGCAAATTTTTGCTTTTCATTCACCTGTTGCATAATATTTAAGATTTATAGTTTCTAAGATAAGTCTGTGTGTTTGTTGCTCCTTAATTTAGATTCAAAAACATTATAATAGTGACTCCACTTCACAAGTACTTCACTAGCTGTGAAATTCTTTGGGATATCCCAAGTGTTATTTAAAAATGGAAAATGCAACCTTTCGAACCAACAAAGGAATAATTTAGTTGATAATCATAGCTTTCTTCTCCCTTTGACTGATCTTGCCTCTTATTAATGATCAGCGCTTCAAAGTATTCATAATTTATAGCAGTAAAAAGTGGTTCTCATTTGAAGAATTTGAAACGTAGAGTATGTTACGGCCAATGTAATTGTTAATTATCAAGGTTTCACTCAGCACATCTTGCCTTGTGGAACAAAATACAAGCTTAATCTTCACTCTGGGATAGTGTTACCATCACTCTTCATCATAGTTCTCAGTTCATGGTATTTGTAAAGACAGTGAATCTTTCAGGCATCACTTTTAACGTCCGAACTGACTCATCTTTTGGTCTTGTATTTGTGATGTTTACTTTAATGTTCAACTTGCTGGTCTGCTGTGGAGAGCCCTTGGAGAGAGACTGTGATGTTTGTCTTTCTAACGTTGCTTCTTGTCTTTCTGACCTATGGTTATACTGTGTATAGCTGTAATGTACCTTCCTTCTCTTCATTTCTCTACTGTGTAACTAAGGATTGTACCTAGATACCTTTTTACTTAAGATGGCGCTGAGTGGTGATTTATAAACTTTTCACTATAATCATTTGAATACATATGACAATAAAGCTAATTCAATTCAATTCAGTTCATCTTCTCGTTTAGCTTTCTGCCCTCTTGCCGGCCTGAACTTTACTCAGACAGAAATGCACCAGCTGAGTTACCTGCAGTTGATAAATTGTGCATTTTATGACCTTGGAGAAAGTTCGTAAATCTGACAGTGAAAATCGCAAAAACCTCTCGCAACCCTAAATGATCCACTTTATTGGCTGGCAGCAGTTTAACCTGTGAACCCTTGGTTTGGCAGTGAAAACTCTAAGGAGTGAATGGAATTTAACAGAGCCCACTTTGCCTGCAATGTTGGAGAGCCCCTGTGCTGTGCTAAGGGATCCGGTGTAATGTGATTTGTAGGAGCCAGATGGCTGACACATGGCTCTCCCTCAGGGGTTGTCAGGAAGAAACGAACCTCAGTATCGACAGCACCAGCTGCTTTAACACTTCTATTGCACCCAGAGGCTGGCTGTCGTGGCTCATCCTGAACGGCATTCGGCAACATTATGTCGGCTTGTTCCAGTTAAAGGGACATTTATACATTGGGAGGGGCTAATTGTCAATTTAACATACTCCTCACTCCCTTTGAGTTAATCCATCAATTGAAACAGAGTTCTAATCACTGGGAGAAGTCTGCACTTGATTGTCCGCTGCCTTCTGTAAATCTGACACTTTGTACATCTGTGAGCTCACTGTCGGATGTGAGTGGTTGGAGCAGAGAGAATACTCAAAGATAAGCATCTTTTACAGTCCTGGATAATGACCTCAAGGCTTCAGTGGTTTTAGAATCCAGTGTAGGGTGGGTGATTTAGTGTCTGTTTTTAATTAGTGAAAAATACTGAAAAGACTGTTTAAATGTTTATAATGAAGTTTTTTTAAAGTAGCGAATGTCCCAATGTATATATTTATTACAAATAGCACCCAGGATTAATTGAATACTCTGTACTTACTTCTGGCTTTGTTCTCTTCTCTTCTCTTTCTGAATGCACAGTCGAAGCTTGACTCTGATGTCATTGACCAGCAAGCCCAGTTTACCCATCAGCTGTGTAGCAAAATGGGACCTCCCTCCTGAGCCTTCTATAGTGAGTTCTATGTTCAAACATTAAAAAGGAAACTGAAAATGCAATTAATATGCATTTATGTTCTACCAAACAGTAAGTCTGCTGCACTCTAAGACACTTTGTGAGAGCATTATAAAAAAATAACACTGAGTACAAGAGTCAGGATGTCATGTTTTAGCTTTATGTGACTTTGTTTAGGTCACAGTTAGAGTATTGTGTTCAATTCTGGTCGCCTCATTACTGGAAGGATGTGAGCCTTTGGAGAGGGTGCAGAAGAGTTTTACCAGGATGCTGCCTAGGTTAGGAGGTGTGAGCTATATGGAGAGGTTAGAACAATACTTGGATTGTCTTCTCTGGAGCAGCAGAGGCTGAGGAGAAACTTGATAGAAGTCTTTAAAATTATGAGAGGCATAGCTACGGTTGACGGTCAGAAATGTCTAATAAATTTAAGTTGAGAGGAGGAAAGTTCAAAGGATATGTGAAGGACAAGTTTTTTATACAGGGAGTGGTAGGAGTGTGGAATGTGCTGCCAGGGGTAATGATGGAGGCAGATACGATAAGGGTGTTTAAGGAACTTTTAGATAAGCACATGAATATGCAAAGAATGGAAGGATATGGACCAAGGGCAGGCAGAAGGGATTAGTTTCATTTGGTATAACAAGGTGTAGAGCTGGATGAACACAGCAGGCTAAGCAGCATCATAGGAGCAGGAAGGCTGACGTTTCGAGCCTAGACCCATCAGAAATGGGGGAGGGGAAGGGGGTTCTGAAATAAATAGGG